TTTTTTTTCTTATTACACCCATTCATCAATGTAAAATGTTGATGAAAAATGAATGTACAGATCTCTTCAAACTTGTAATTAGTTTCATTGTTCAAAGGAGATTTTAGGTTTCTTAGTGATTGAGCCGTAGCTGTTAACACAAATGTATAGACTTATTGTAAAAGTAATGCAGTCAGAAGGCTAATTCATCTTTTGGTACTTGGCATAGTAATCACTTCCTAGCAGATCGTAATGCTCCTCGAAAGAAATATTTAAAATATTATGGCAAGTTCCCAACAAAGGGAGCGCCTTTTGATAATAGAAACACATTAAATAACAGATGGTAACAGGTAACAAAAGCAACAATCTACATGAATAAGACTAATACTACGACGGATATGGTGCTCCAGACTACCACCAAGCCTAATCCTATCAAAAAGCAAGATAACGCTCTACTGCCTACTAACCTTCTACCCTAATCTACGACCTTCATACCCTTCTATCTAAGGTCATGTCTTCAGTAAGTTGAAGTTGCACTATGTCCTATCCGATCACCTCTCCCCAATACTTCTTTGATCGACCTCTGCCTCTCCTCGAACCCACTATATCCAACTTCTCACACCTCTTCATTGGGGCATATACACATCTCCTTTTCACATGTCCAAACTATCTTAGTCATGCTTCCCTCATCTTCTTCACCATTGAGGCAACTCCCACCTTGTCCCTGATATCCTCATCCCTAATTTATCGCTCATAGTATGCTCACACATCCATCTCAACATTCTCATTTTCGCAACTTGCATCTTCTTAGCATGAGAGTTCTTGACTGACCAAAACGCAACACATACAACAAAGTCAGTCTAACCACCACTCTATAGAACTTACCTTTAAGTTTTGATAGTACATTTTCATCACACAAGACTCTGGAGGCAAGCCTCAATATCTTCCCCATAGCACCAATATGATGTGTGACATCATTGTCGATATCCCCAATTCCTTATATAAAAGATCCAAAATACTGAAAATTTCTCTCTCTTGGGGATAGCCTGTATATCAAGCCTCAGTTCCGTGCTTGCCTCATGCGCTGCATCACTGAATTCGCACCCCAAATATTCTATTTTGTTCCAACTCAACATGGACCCCTTAGACTCCAGAGTTTGTCTCTACACCTCCAAACAAATGTTTACTCGGCCATGAGTCTCATCAATCAGTACAATGTCATATACCAATAATATACATCATCACACCTCACCATGAATATGCTGCATCAATTCATCAATCACCAAGGAAAATAGAAACGAGTTAAGTGTTGATCCCTGGTACCACGCCATCTCGACTAGAAAGTGCTCTGAGTCTGCTCCCACTATTCTTACCCGAGTCTTGGCTCTATTAGTTATGTCCTTCATCACCCTAATGTAAGCCACTAGTACACTTTTGGCCTGCCAACATCTACATAGGACTTCCCTCGAGACTTTATCTTCTGTTTATTCGAAGTCAGTAGACACCATATGTAAGTCCCTTTACCATTCTCTGTACTAATCCACATGTCAACTCACAAGATGAATGGTTTCTGAGTAAGTTTGTAATATTTGGAGGGCTTAAATTGAACACACATATGTCTGAGAAGAATATTGACTTCTCCGAAAGTTAGCATAAGATAGCTTGCAATATACTAGGCACTCTTTCTTTTTCAATGTTGTTTCCTATTTTTCTAACAAAAAATACAATCACTTTTTGTTCTTAAATTACCTTCTAAAAATACTTGACATTTCTCTCATGATTTTTCTAAAGGCAAAAGTTAGGTCAAGAAGAAATTAAGTTAAATCACTCAAAAAATTATATCATTTGTCATGCATGAGTGGTATATTCCACATAAAGTCAGAAATGGCCTACAAATCCAGCCTTTAAACCTCAAGATGAAATGACACAAAAGGTGAGATAAGGTAACAAGTTGAAATATTTGAATGGTTACTTTTTCCCTCTTGCCTGATTTATTGGGCAACAAATCAAAGTTCATGGATGACTCATTCAGCAACCACAACTTAACTTTAATGTAATATATAAATCCGTGTCATTATATTGTCAACCTTGATCATACAAGACTAATAAAACTAACTTGAGATAATATTACTATACACCAAAAGCCTTCTCTTACTTTTATTCAACTTGTAAAAGCAGCTTACATCAGAAAGCAAATCTTCCAACTCAAAAGATGACAACACCACATGTGCACACAAATCTTGATAATAAAATAAGACACAGTAATTAGAAAGACAGATAAAAGAAGACATTTTAAAAACCTTTGCAGCAAATTGAGAAATATTCAACTTTGATGACCCTAGCTGACTCATGCATCACTAGTAGTTTAAAGATTCATCAACTTGTCCCAAACTGCTGTGTATATATATAGTGCTGCAAGAAATGTTCTTAAACCATCAAGCAAAAACATAATAATATCTCAGTTACCTTCACAATATAACAAATCTCTTCAAAATCAGAAGTCACAATGAAGAACTTCCTCAGTGGAAATGAGGTTGGTGTTCCCATGAGTTCAGCAGTATGCTCATTTGAACGGCAGCAAAAAAGACTACTGTCTCTATCTGCAACTTCAAAGCACTTGCCTAAAATAAAGCAAAGTGAGTATTTTCCCTCGAAGAATAATCAACTTGCTCTTTTATTAGTTATAAAGAGTATTAATGACCTCTAAGAAGAGATCATTAAAATTAAATATTCTTGAATATGCAGGAAAATCTGTAATTAGTAAGATGAACAAACTTGGAGAAAGGATGGACTGTCTTGCACAAGGCATCCGTGAGCATGGTGAGCACTTATATTCATGATGAAGACTTAAAAAGAACAATAAAAAATTTACAGAGACAATCATTTGTTTAAGTTGAAAATTAGTATTTCAAAGTTGAAATTGTTTACGGACATCAGGAGGAAATGAAAAAAGTTGAAGTATTGTGAATGAAAACCGTCATCCCACTAGAAAAACTCCTTAAACAAGTTTTTTATTACTTTCACCACTATTTCAAATACTGAAGTTCAATATTTATAAATATAGCACCAAACATAAACTTGCAAATAATGACATCAGTATTTGTGAAATCATGGCCAAACACAAGTGGTAATCTAAACAACAGCAGATAAAGAGAGCCAGGATGTACAAAATTTTGTGCAATAAGCACTATTCATATGTATTACAGAAAGTACTGATTGTAAAGTCCTTAATTTTCAACTTTAATTGTGCAGTGAGCCTTAGCCCGAAGCTAACGGAGACTGTGAAGGGAAAATTGAGCCTTGGGGCAAAAATTCTTCAAGTAGGAGGATTGGAGAAAATATTTAAGCAGAAGTTTAGTGTTAAAGATGATGAAGAGCTATTGAATGTTTCTCAATGCTATTTATCAACTACAGCTGGTCCAATAGCAGGCCTTCTCTTCATCTCTACCGAAAAGATTGCTTTCAGCAGTGAGAGATCAATAAAGCTCTTATCTCCAACTGGAAAGTTGCTTAGAATCTACTATAACGTACCACTCTGCTCCTCTTTTCTTCCAACTCTTAATTTGTATCCACGTAAAGCATAATCTAATAAGCCGGTTCACAATTGCAGGTATCGATCCCAATAAGTAAGACAATGAAAGCAAAAGAGAGTGAAAATAGGGAAAAGCCATCACAGAAGTATATACAAGTAATTACAGAGGATGATTTTGAGTTCTGGTTTATGGGATTCCTTAATCATCAAAAAACTCTGAGATATCTGCAGCAGGCAATTTCAAGTAGTTCAAGCAGCTAAGAAGACAGCTTCTTCTTCATTAGGAAATACGCCAATTCATCAATGTAAAATATAGATGCAAAAATGAATGTAAAGATCTTTTCAAACTTGTAATTAGCTCAATTCCTCAAAGGAGGCTTTAGGTTTCTTAGGCTTTGAGCTGTTGCTGCCAACACAAATGTATAGAATTATTGTAAAACTAATGCAGTCAGAAGGCTAATTCATCTTTTGGGACTTGGCATAGTCAGCACTTCCTAAGTGAACACTTGAGTAGCAGATCAAAATGCTCCTCGAGTAGCATATTTAAAATATTATGTTAAGTTCCCAACAAAGGGAGCTCCCCTTGATAATAGAAATACAGTAAATAACAGATGGTAACAGATAAATATATCAAGAAACTACATGAATAAGACTAATACTACAACCAACACGGTGCTCCAGACTACCAACAAGCCTAATCCCGTCAAAAAACAAGACAACGCTCCAATGCTTACTAGTCTTCTACCCTAATCTGCAACGTTCATACCCTCCTATCTAAGGTCATGTATTCAGTACGCTGAAGTTGCATCATGTCTGATTTGATCACCTCTCCCCAATACTTCTTTCGTCTACCTCTACCTCTCCTTGTACCCACTATATCCAACATCTTACACTTGGTCATTGGGGCATCTACAAATCTCCTTTTTCACATGCCCAAACCATCTCAGTGTTGCTTCTCTCATCTTGTCCACCACAAAGGGAACTCCCACCTTGTTCCCGATATCCTCATTCCTAATCTATCGCTCTTAGTATGCCCACACATCACATCTATCTCAACATCCTCATTTCCGCAACTTCCATCTTTTGAAATGAGAGTTCTTGACTGACCAAGACTTTGCCCCATACAACAAAGTTTGTCTAACTATCACTCTACAAAACTTACCTTTAAGTTTTGATGGTACCTTTTCATCACATAAGACTCTAGAGGCAAGCTCCATATCATCTACACCAACTACTTAACTTTAATGTCATGTATAAATCCGTGTCATTATCTTGTCAACCTTGATCATACAAGACTGATAAAGCTAACTTGAGATAAATCTTTTACTCAACTAGTAAAAGAAGCATACATCAGAAAGTAAATCTGCCAACTCAAAAGTTGACAACACCACATGTGCAAACAAATCTTAATAATAAAATAAGGCAGCATGAGATAGTTTACTGTAATTAAAAAGACAAATAAAAGAAGACATTTTAAAAACCTTTGCAGCAAATTGAGAAATATTCTATTTTGCTGACCCATAGCTGACTCATGCAAACAGTTAATAGTTAAAAGATTCATCAACTTTGCCCAAACTGCAGTGTATATATATAGTGCTGCAAGGAATGTTCTTAAACCATCAACCATAACATAATAATATCTCAGTTACCTTCACAATATAGCAACTCTCTTCAAAATCCGAAGTCACAATGAAGAACTTACTCGGTAGAAATGAGGTGGGTGTTCCCATGAGTTCAGCAGTATACTCATTTGAACGGCAGCCAAACAGACTACTGTCTCTATCTGCCTGTCAAGACCGTCTTCCATCCGAAACTTCAAAACACTTACCTAAAATAAAGCAAAGTAAGTTTTTTCCCTCGAAGAATATTCGACTTGTTCATGTACTAGTTATAGAGAGTATTAATGACCCTCGAAGAAGAGATCTCTAAAATTAGCTATTCTTGAATATGCAGGAAAATCTGTAATTAGTAAGATGAACAAACTTGGAGAAAGGATGGACTATCTTGCACAAGGCATCCGCGAGCATGGTGAGCATTTATATTCAAGATGAAGACTTAAAAAAACAATCGAAAATTTACCGTGACAATATTTTATTTAAGTTTAAAACTAGTATTTCGAAGTTGAAATTGTGTGCGGACATGAGTTTACTTGGAAAAGAAAAGGTTGAAGTATTTTGAATGAAAACTATCATCTTACTAGAAAAATTCCTAAAATAAGTTTTTAAATAATTTTACCACTATTTCATATACTGAAGTTCAATAGTTATAAATATGGAGCCAAACATCAACTTTCAAATAATGACATCAGTATTTGCAAGTGAAATCATGGCCAAACACAGGTCGTAATCTAATCATCAACAGATAAAGACAGCCAAGATGTACAAAATTTTGTGCAATAAGCACTATTAATATGTATGACAGAAAGTACTGAGTGTAAAGTCCTTAATGTTTCAACTTTAATTCTGCAGTGAGCCTTGGTCCGAAGCTAACGGAAACTGTGAAGGGAAAATTGTGCCTTGGAGCAAAAATTCTTCAAGTAGGAGGGTTGGAGAAAATATTCAAACAGAAGTTTAGTGTTAAAGATGATGAAGAGCTATTGAATGTTTCTCAATGCTATTTATCAACGACAGCTGGTCCAATAGCAGGCCTTCTCTTCATCTCTACCGATAAGATTGCGTTCTGCAGTGAGAGATCAATCAAGTTCTTATCTCCAACTGGAAAGTTGCTTAGAATCTACTATAAGGTACCACTCTGCTCCATATTCCAACTCTTAATTTTGTATCCACGTAAAGCATAATCTAATAAGCCGGTTCATAATTGCAGGTATCGATCCCAATAAGTAAGACAATGAAAGCAAAAGAGAGTGAAAATAGGGAAAAACCATCACAGAACTCTGAGATATCTGCATCAGAGGATGATTTTGAGTTCTGGTTTATGGGATTCCTTAATCATCAAAAGACTCTGAGATATCTGCACCAGGCAATTTCAAGTACTTCAAGCAGCTAAGAAGACAACATATTTTCGTTTCTTTTTTCATTTTTTTTCTTATTACACCCATTCATCAATGTAAAATGAATGTACAGATCTCTTCAAACTTGTAATTAGCTCCATTGTTCAAAGGAGATTTTAGGTTTCTTAGTCTTTGAGTCGTAGCTGTTAACACGAATGTATACGCATATTGTAAAAGTAATGCAGTCAGAAAGCTAATTCAACTTTTGGGACTTGGCATTGTCATCACTTCCTAGCAGATCGTAATGCTCCTCGAAAAACATATTCAAAATTTTATGGCAAGTTCTCAACAAGGGGAGAGATTATCCTCCTTTAGGTATAGACAGTCCATAGAAAAATAAGAAGAGGAATGTGTTCTAAATCCAAATGCTCTTGGATGGGTAGTCGAATTGGGGGATAAATCTTTTTTGCTCCTTTATATAGAATCTAATCAATCACTTTGAGATCATGAGAACCTTGTGATTTGATATAAATTTCATTTATTTTATTTTATCAGGTAAATATTTTCATTATTAACAAGGCCAAAAAAGGCCATATACAAGAGGTATACCAACCAGTAAAGGACCTACACAAAGATATGGTTCTTTACAAAGGACACATAATCCTCTATACAACCCGTAACTACACGGGTGCACCAAAAACAAATAAGGGATTGGAGACTACTCTTCAACTGCCAAAAACTCAATTCTACCCCTTTGAAAGACCTCAAATTTCTCTCTCAGACGATCCACATCAATGCCCTAGGAACAACATTCTAGGCCCTGCATTTTCTCCTGCTTCTTCCAGCTTTCCAGTAAAACAACAGTTCTTTCACAGTTCTCGGCATTCCCCATGACATTACAAATCAGCTTAACATGTCCTACCATGGTCCCATGGCCAAGCTACAATGTAGCAGAAGATCATCTACGTCTTCGTCCCATCTCCTCGCATAAGTAATACCAGCTGATGCAAATAACTTTTGTTTTCCTAAGGTTCTTTGTCGTCAAGATCACCCGTCTAGCAGCTAACCAAGTGTAAAAGCACACCTTCCTCGGAACCTTGGGAATCTGAATAGACTTAACAGGAAAACCCTCCTTAACCCTCACTAAAAGCTTCTCACCGAAGACTTGATAGGAAAAACACCATTGTTTCCCAACCTCCATCTTATCGAAACGGTTCTGTCACCTGCCTCACAATGCTGACGGAGTACCAGTAGCATCCTTTCAAACTCATTCACCTCCCAATCCTGGAAAGCTCTCCTAAACCTCAAATCCCAAAATGTTACTTCTGCTTGTCCCCGGGGACATCTGTTGGCTACCGCCTCCCTATGACAAGATATCCAATAAAAGCTTGGAAACTCAACTTTAAGCGACATGTCTCCCACTTTTCTTACCCGAGTCTTGGATCTATTATACATGTCCTTCATCGCCTTAATGTAAGCCCCCAAGACACCTTTAGCCTCCAAACATCAACATATGACTTCCCTCGGGACTTTTGTCTTATGCCTTTTCTAGGTCAATAGACACCATATGTAAGTCCCTCTTCCATTCCTATACTTCTCCTCTAGTCAACTCACAAGATGAATGGCTTCTGAGTATGTTGGTAATATGTGAAGGGATTAAATTGAACACACATTTGTCTATTAAGAGAATGGCTTTTCCAGAAAGTTCGTGTAAAATAGCTTGCAATATACTAGGCACTCTTTTTTTCTCAATGTTGTTTCCTATTTCTCTAAACAGAAAATACAAGCACTTTTTTATCTTAAATTACCTTCTAAAAATACTTGACATTTCTCTCATGATTTTTCAAAGGCAACAGTTGGTGTAGAAGAAGATAAGTTAAATTACTCAAAAAAATTATATCATTTGTCATGCATGTATGGTATGTTCCACATAAATACAGAAATGGCCTACAAAACCTGCCTTTACACCTCAAGATGATGAGACGAAAAAAAAGGTCAGATAAGGTAACTGCGTTAAAAGAGAAATTATTATAATCTAGAACAGTTGGCCCTATGTAACAGGTTGAAATAGTTGAATGGCTACTTTTCCCCTTTGCCTGATTTATTGAGCAGCAAATCAAAGTTCATAGATGACTCATTCATGATCAACAACCACTACTTAACTTTAATGTCATTAACCCGTGTTATTATGTTGTCAACCTAGATCATACAAAACTAATAAAGCTACCTTGAGATAATTTTACTATGCACCAAAAAGCTTCTCTTACTTTTACTCAACTTGTAAAAGCAGGTTACATCAGAAAGCAAATCTTCCAACTCAAAAGTTGACAACACCACATGTGCACATAAATCTTAATAGTAAAATAAGGCAGAATGAGATAGTTTACTGTAATTGAAATGACAGCTAAAAGAAGACATTTTCAAAATCTTTGCAGAAAATTGAGAAATATTCTATTTTGATGACCCATAGCTGACTCATGCACCAATTAGTAGTTAAAAGATTCATCCACTTCTCCCAAACTGATGTGTATATATATAGTGCTGCAAGGAATGTTCTTAAACCATCAACAAAAAACGTAATAATATCTCAGTTACCTTCACAATATAGCAATTCTCTTCAAAAATCAGAAGTCACAATGAAGAACTTACTTGGTCGAAATGAGGTTGGTGTTTCCATGAGTTCAGCAGTATACTCATTTGAACGGCAGCCAAAAAGACTACTGTCTCTATCTGCTTGCCAAAACCATCTTCCGTCTGCAACTCTAAAACACTTGTCGAAAATAAAGCAAAGTGAGTATTTTACCTCGAAGGATAATCATTTTGTTCTTGTATTAGTTATAAAGAGTATTAATGACCCTAGAAGAAGAGATCATTAAAATTATATATTCTTGAATATGCAGGAAAATCTGTAATTAGTAAGATGAACAAACTTGGAGAAAGGATGGACTGTCTTGCACAAGGCATCCGTGAGCATGGTGAGCACTTATATTCATGATGAAAACTTAAAATGAACAATCGAAAATTTACCAAGACAATATTTTATTTAAGTTTAAAACTAGTATTTCGAAGTTGAAATTGTGTGCGGACATGAGTTTACTTCGAAAAGTAAAGGTTGAAGAATTGTGAATGAAAACAATCATCCCACAAGAAAAATTCCTAAAACAAGTTTTTAAAATAATTTTACCACTATTTCAAATACTGAAGTTCAATATTTATAAATATGGTGCCAAACATCAACTTTCAAATAATGACATCAGTATTTGCAAGTGAAATCATGGCCAAACACAAGTGCAAATCTCATGACAACGGATAAAGGGCGTCAAGATGTACAAAATTTTGTGCAATAAGCACTATTTACATGTATGACAGAAAGTACTGATGTGAAGTCCTTAATGTTTCAACTTTAATTGTGCAGTGAGCCTTAGCCCGAAGCTAACGGACACTGTGAAGGGAAAATTGAGCCTTGGAGCAAAAATTCTTCATGTAGGAGGGTTGGAGAAAATATTCAAGCAGAAGTTTAGTGTTAAAGATGACGAAGAGTTATTGAATGTTTCTCAATGCTATTTATCAACTACATCTGGGGCAATAGCAGGCCTTCTCTTCATCTCTACCGATAAGATTGCTTTCTGCAGTGAGAGATCAATAAAGTTCTTATCTCCAACTGGAAAGTTGCTTAGAATCTACTATAAGGTACCACTTTTCTCCGTTTTTCTTCCAACTCTTAATTTGTATCCACGTAAAGCATAATCTAATAAGCTGGTTCACAATTGCAGGTATCGATCCCAATAAGTAAGACAATGAAAGCAAAAGAGAGTGAAAATAGGGAAAAGCCATCACAGAAGTATATACAAGTAATTACAGAGGATGATTTTGAGTTCTGGTTTATGGGATTCCTTAATCATCAAAAGACTCTGAGGTATCTGCACCACGCAATTTCAAGTACTTCAAGCAGCTAAGAAGATAAAACATTTTTTTCATTTTTTTTTCCTAATACGCCCATTCATCAATGAATGTACAGATCTCTTCAAACATGTAACTAGCTCCATTCCTCAATTGAGGCTTTTGAGTTTTTTAGGCTTTGAGCCGTAGCTGTCAACACAAATGTATAAATTTATTGTAAAATTAATGCAGTCAGATTCATCTTTTGGGACTTGGCATAGTCATCACTTCCTATTTGACCGTTTGAGTAGCAGATCGTTACGGGAACCCAAATTTGAGGTAGTGTTCATTCTAACATAACAAGTTCAATGGGTAATAACAAGGTACTTTGTGTTGTTAAAGCACTTATCCCTCTTATAGAAAATGACTGTAATGCATATTACTCTCTGAGGAGCTAAGGTATTGTTAAATAGCTGATATAACAGGAAACAGTGACAAACTCTATAATGCAACCTGTTACCATAAAAAGTTGGATAAATTCTTAAAGGGATTAGTAAATGTCTAGAGTAGCAGGGTACATATTAACTAACTCCACTTATATAAATACTAGTTTTACGGAACGTGCGTTACACGTTTAACTCAAAGTACATAATACAAATCTTATATTGCAAATGATATAGTTAAATAATATATATTTTATTTCACTTTTTCAGTACAATAAAATAAAAATCAAAACATATAAAAAAAGTAACAACTCATAAGTTAAAGGCTAAAAAATCTTACAAACATGATACATATTTTAGTGACATATAACACCTTAATTTAAATACTCATTGAATAGACAATAAGAAATAAACTGATGCGCATATATTGAATCCCATCATGATCAATCCAAATACACAAAAATCTTATAAAATTTGCTTCGGCTCAACCACATGTACATTAAAAAGTAAGAAAGTAGAAAAGGGAGATAATTGTATATTAATTAGTATAGCGACATAAACCTAAAAATATGATAACATTAAGTTATCAATTAATATACTTTGTTAATTAAGTACCTGAAACTAAAATTAGTGGAGAAGAAGAAATTAACTAAATAAGAAGAGCTTGTGCAGACTGTAGTGAGAAAAAGATCATAACTCATAAGCACAAATAGAGATCTTTAATAAGAACAATGAAAATTGAAATGCAAATGATGAATCAGTTGGAAGGGAATAGAAAATAATAATAATAATAATAATAATAATAATAATAATAATAATAATAATAATAATAATAATAATAATAATAATAATAATAATAATAATAATAATAATAATAATAATAATAATAATAATAATAATAATAATAATAATAATAATAATAATAATAATAATAATAATAATAATAATAATAATAATAATAATAATAATAATAATAATAATAATAATAATAATAATAATAATAATAATAATAATAATAATAATAATAATAATAATAATAATAATAATAATAATAATAATAATAATAATAATAATAATAATAATAATAATAATAATAATAATAATAATAATAATAATAATAATAATAATAATAATAATAATAATAATAATAATAATAATAATAATAATAATAATAATAATAATAATAATAATAATAATAATAATAATAATAATAATAATAATAATAATAATAATAATAATAATAATAATAATAATAATAATAATAATAATAATAATAATAATAATAATAATAATAATAATAATAATAATAATAATAATAATAATAATAATAATAATAATAATAATAATAATAATAATAATAATAATAATAATAATAATAATAATAATAATAATAATAATAATAATAATAATAATAATAATAATAATAATAATAATAATAATAATAATAATAATAATAATAATAATAATAATAATAATAATAATAATAATAATAATAATAATAATAATAATAATAATAATAATAATAATAATAATAATAATAATAATAATAATAATAATAATAATAATAATAATAATAATAATAATAATAATAATAATAATAATAATAATAATAATAATAATAATAATAATAATAATAATAATAATAATAATAATAATAATATATGAATGATATGATGATGATATATACATTGTTTTATCTATCATAACTTTTCAAAATTTTCCATTGAGAATTATGATCATGATTTAAAACAATATCAATGTACTCATTTATCAAGAAAATAACAATTTAATTATTAAATGGCTTAAGGACTTAAATTCTACCATTATGTAACTAAATTATTTGTATTTAATTAAATAATTAATCCAATTTTTATTTAGTAAAAGGACAAAATGGTAATTCAACTTTTCACTTTGAAGCTTCCCACTTATAATAATATATGATTGAAGCAGTGCCGCTTCAAATAAGATCTAAAAGGTTGGTCTTGTAAATATTAACGGGATCAAGACTGAGTAGATGGTCTTAAAAGTGCTAAGAGCAAATACTGGTTAGTTTGCTACTAAATATTATTACGTGTGTGGTACTCCCAGCTTGACATAATAAAACATTCAAATCTTAGGATACCATATACTTGGTCAAACTTTAAAATTTTACACTAATGGAAAGTTCAAATCTATATAAGATACTTTCTGGTATGTATGATTTTATAAGATATATTACAAATTATCTGGGGATTGTGTTTTTTTTTTCTTGAGAAAGGTAACATTTACTTCTATATATCCACAGATTCATCAAAAGACTCTGAGATATCTGCACCAAGCAATTTCAATTCTTTTTTCTTTTCTTATTTTTTCTTCTTATGCGCATTCATCAATGTAAAATGTTGATGCAAAACGAATGTACAGATCTGTTCAAACTTGTAGTTAGCTCCTTTGCTCAAAGGAGATTTTAGGTGTTTTAGGATTTGAGTTGTTAACACAAATGTATAGACTTATTGTGAAAGTAATGCAGTCAGAAGGCTAATTAATCTTTTGGGACTTCGCATCGTGATCACTTCCTAGCAAATCGCACTGTTACTCGAAAGACATATTTAAGATATTATGGAAAGTTTCCAACAAGGGGAGCCCCCTTAATATTTTTCACCTCAAGAATTTCTTAGGCAGAATTCGCATAATTAATACTGTGAGGATTGAGCTGTCAAAAGAGATTATCCAAATGCTCTTGGATGGGTAGTCGAATTGGGGGATAAATCTTTTTTTCTCCTTTATATAGAATCTAATCAATCTTTTAGAGATCATGAGAACCTTGTGATTTGATATAATTTATTTATTTTTATCAGGTAAATATTTTCATTATTAACAACACCAAAAAAGGGCATATACAAGAGGTATACCTACCAGTAAAGGACCTACACAAAGATATGGTTCTATACAAAAGACACCCAATCCTCTATACAACCCGTAACTACATGGGTGCAAAAAACAAATAAGGGATCGGAGACTACTCCTCAACAGCCAAAAACTCGATTAATGCCATAGGAACAACATTCTATGCCCTGCACCTTTCTCCTGCTTCTTCCAGATTTCCAGTAAAACAACAAATCTTTCACAATTTTTGGAATTGCCCATGACATTACAAACCAGCTGAACATGTCCCACCACAGTCTCGTGGCCTAGCTACAATGTAGCAGAAGATGATTTACGTCTTCGCCAGCCTCCTTGCATAAGTAATACCAGCTGATGCAAATAACTTTTGTTTTCCTAAGGTTCTTCGACGTCAAGATCACCCCTCTAGCAGCTAACAAAGTGAAAAGGCACACCTTCCTCGGAACCTTGGGAATCCGAATAGACTTAACAGGAAAACCCTCCTCAACTCTCAATAAAAGCTTCTAATAGAAGGCTTGACAGAAAAAACACCATCGTTTCCCAACTTTCATCTCGTCGAATCGGGCCTGTCAGCTGCCTCGCAATGCTGATGCAGTAACAGTAACATCCTTTCAAACTCATTCACCTCCCAATCCTGGTGAGCTCTCCTGAACCTCAAATCCTAAAACACTACTTCCCCATGTGTCCCTGGGGACATCTGTTGGACTACTGCTCCCAGCTAAAAACTTTCCCGACAGTCACTCAAGCACTTTCACATAACAAAAAAGCAAAGTGTATCGTATCTCATTCCATCCGAATAGGTTTCAAAGCAATCAGTACAGCGCAACAGAGGAGCCCATTCAGTATCGTCTTTGTTTGTGAATATTAATGTGTCCTATCTTCATGCTATATTATTCCCATTGATTGTGATCAAACTGTGTTCCGAGTGTCTTTATAGAGAAGAGAGAAATCTTCCCTTAAGATAGTCAGGGATAAACCGCTCTACAGAACAGGGGACAGGAAGGGAAGTAAAAACCCCGATAAGATTAAGCAATCAGCCGCTGTCACTGACCGGGACACAGATACAAATGGTGGAGTACTATTCTACCACAACGAGACAGGAATCATCGAATCGAAGGTCGAATAGAAAGCATTCCCCCCAGTTGAGAGGCTCCATTTGACAAGACATCCCATAAAAGCTCGGAAACTCATCTTTAAGCCACATGTCTCCCACTTTTCTTACCCGAGTCTGGGCTCTATTATCTGTGTCCTCCATTGTGTTAAAGTAATCCCCCAAGACATCGTTAGCCTCCCGACATCTACATAGGACTTCCCTTGGGACCATATGTAAGTCCCTCTTCCATTCCTAAACTTTTCCTCCCTCTAGTTATCTCACAAGAAGAATGGCTTCTGAGTAAGTTGGTAATATGTGAAGGGATAAAATTGAACACACATCTGTTTGTAACAGAGAAAGACTTCCCCGAAAAGTTAGCGTAAGATAGCTTGCAATATACTAGGCACTCTTTCTTTTTCAATGTTTCCCTATTTTCTAACAGAAAATACAATCACTTTTGTTCTTAAATTACCTTCTAAAAATACTTGGCATTTCTCTCATGATTTTTTCAAAAGCAAAAGTTGGTCAAGAAGAAAATAAGTTAGATTACTCAAAAAATATTATATCATTTGTCATGCTTGTATGGTATGTTCCACATAAAGTCAGAAATGGCCTACAAATCCTGCCTTTACAAGTCAAGATGAGATGCTAAAAAGGGCAAGATAGGGTAACTGCCTTATAAGAGAAGCTAATATAAACTAGAACTGTTGGCCCTATGTAACACATTGAAATATTTGAATGGATCCTCTTTTTCCTTTGCCTGATCTATTAAGCAACAAATCAACGTTCATGGATGACTCATTCATGACCCACAACCACTACTTAACTTTAATGTCATATATAAATCCGTGT